ATATAAATGAACGTTTCATTCACTTTCTTGAGTTATGTTTTGTGGTTCAAAACGACGTTGAATTCTAAGATAGTGATAAGGTTGACTGCATCTGAGAGCCAGGGGCTGCTTCACGACGATAACTCAACGTTCCCTGAATTTCAAGTTGCGACATCCAACACGTTCGTGTCATTAATTATTGTTGTGGTCGATTGCGCTGCAAGTGCACTTGTCATCACCGAACCACGATACCTTCAGGTCATAAATTGTTCAATAATTAATAGAAAATAATAATAATTCATCCATAATTTGCAGCCCTCGTGTTTTTTTACCAGGAGTTACTTATTTTCCTTTAAAACGTATATAAGTACTTATATCATTAGTCTGCTTATATCGCAAGTTCACAAGGAATTTAAAAGCAAAGAAAACGCCAAGAAAATTCACCATATCGATATTGAAAACGTTTCGGAGTCCAGCTCCATCATCAGTTCGACTAAACTAAAAATGAATAAAATCACTTTAAAAGTCAAAATTAAAATTTACTTTTAATTTTGACTTTTAAAGCGATTTTATTCATTTTTAGTTTAGTCGAACTGATGATGGAGCTGGACTCCGAAACGTTTTCAATATCGATATGGTGAATTTTCTTGGCGTTTTCTTTGCTTTTAAATTCCTTTAAAACGTGTTGTGACGATGTGAAATAATACTTTAAATTGCATTATCAAATAATGCATTCAAGCGAAGTTAACATATTCCATTCTTCATGTTCGAGCGCAGTTATAATTCGTCTCAAAACACAGACGAGTAAAATTTTCTTGCTAATTGAAATATTTTGTAACAATGGTTCGGCCAAACGGAAAAATAATTATTTCACTAGATGGAGTAAGTTGCAAGCTATTGTAAAATGTAATGCGAATACTATGTTTTAAAAATGGTGCCGGTATTTTTCCTCGTTATTTATGGATTTTTCAATTCGGTTACTAATAAGAATTATTTTTATTTATCGTGCCTTTTTTTGTTACGCTAATCAACAGATTAATCTGATCCAGTTTGTATGCATGCTGATTATTGATATTATTATTTTATTATTATTTTAGCATTATTTTAGTATTATTTTTTCTTAGAATACTAATAATAAAAAAGTAATAATCATCATTAATTTTGTTAAAATCGAAACATTGAAACGGTGCTCATTCGTGATACACTCTTTTATGAGTCATTTATGTGTTGAATGATGATGCACCAACAAAAAAATTTCAACATAGGGCCAGACTATTAGTTCACTAATAGTCTGGCCCTATGTCCGATTTCTCGCAGACGAGAAATCGGCCGCTGTATCGGCATTGTTTATTTAAGCCGTCACGTGCGCACCTAAGCCGCCACGTGCGCGCCTAAGCCGCCACGTGCGCGCCTAAGCCGTCACGTGCGCACCTAAGCCGTCACGTGTGCGCCTAAACCGCCACGCGCGCCTAAGCCGCCACGTGTGCGCCTAAACCATCACGTGCGCGCCTAAACCGTCACGTGTGCGCCTAAACCATCACGTGCGCGCCTAAACCGTCACGTGTGCGCCTAAGCCGTCACGTGTGCGCCTAAGCCGTCACGTGCGCACCTAAGCCGCCACGTGCGCCTAAGTCACCACGTGCACCTATATATAAGCCTCTACGTGCGCCTAAGCCGCCACGTGCGCCTAAGTCGCCACGTGCGCCTATATATAAGCCACCACGTGCGCCTAAGCCGCCACGCGCGCCTAAGCCGCCACGTGCGCGCCTAAGCCGCCACGTGCTCCTAAGCCGCCACGTGCGCGCCTAAGCCGTCACGTGCGCGCCTAAGCCGCCACGTGCGCGCCTAAGCCGCCACGTGCTCGTGCGCACCTAAGCCGCCACGTGCTCCTAAGCCGCCACGTGCGCGCCTAAGCCGTCACGTGCGCGCCTAAGCCGTCACGTGCGCGCCTAAGCCGTCACGCGCACTGAAGCAAGTTTTGATAGCACCGCTAATCGTGCGTTTACGTATAATGATTATATGACTTTTTTGTTCAGCGTAGACTTATGAGTTTTAATTAGCCAATTACAAAGAATGAACGAGGTGTAGTGTGGTGCAGTTATTATGAAAATGGAGCGACTATCATAGGAATACCTGCTGCCAAGACGATATCAAGCTGGTTATTAAACATGATATAATGGACTCGCGAAAGGCAATTGGAGATTCGCTGTAACGATGACTGCAGTGCAACAAAGTTTAGGAGCACTACTCTAAATTATTACGTATTTATAGTGAATAGGTCAATTAAAATTTAAGATTCAGTGCACGAATCTGTTTTTTATGCAAGTTGTAGATAATATATATTGAATTCGGTCTGTACTCAAAAAACTCTTTTAATTTTTTATAGCCTCTTTTTCCTCGCTCGTGAGCAAATAAACTATTGCTTTGTCAAATTGAGCGCCATTGTTTTTAATTCTAAACTCCTCCATGTGAGTCACAAAGAACAACAAATTATGCACATTAATTTAGTCTTATATGCTTTGAAATGAAAATATCTCGCAGTATGGATTAAAACTTTACAAAATTATAGACGCGAAAATCAATAATTTTTTATATCATACACACTGTCTTTTCGATATTGAATTTTCGAAAATATTTCAAGAATGAAGACCTTTTCATTAAAGAGTAAAGTTATGATAGTTTTTTGCTGAGCGTGCGTGACTGAGAGCATCGGGTTACACCTAGAACGGCTGCTAAAATATCAGCTTATCTAAGTAATGTTCATAATTAGTCTTTTTGGCAGCGGCAAAATTCATTTTATTCAAAAGCAGAATTAAGAAACATTTTAAAAACATTATCTTTCAGTTTCTTTGGCCATAAACGGAATATGTGACTGTAGATTAGCTAGCACATTGTACTAACATGCATTTAACTTAATTGCGACGATGCAAAAAATTCTCGTATTGTTAAATGGTGCTGGAACCACTACGATTTTATTGTTATTATATAAAAAACACAACAGACCAAAACGCATCGTATCTGCCATTTTTCTGGGCTCGGCTCCCTCCGCTACGTAGAGCCTACGAATTAATTTGAACCCTCTTTGAAATATCTCTTTTTTTCGAGCAAATTCTGCACGAGTTACTCCACTCAAAGACTAGATTGTTCATTTCGTAGTTGTTTACTAAAAAAATTTCGATGGTTTTTCGATCATGCACTCTCTGTATTGTTTGTTCTCGACATGGTTTCAATAGATATTTGTACACTGTACAAGCTATTACTTGAGAAGAGCGTATGAGGCAGAGGCAGTAAAATCTTGATGTACATATCCTCACTGCATGAGCACTGCAATGCAGATACACTGCGTCAGAAATTCATCATTTTTGCGTAGCCTTCAAAAAAATAACCTGGCTAAGATTGTGTTAATATACGAATCGGTGCTGAAATATTCAGTCAAAAAGCGTTAATTTTCTTTGTCAGAGAAGTAAATATTTCTGAAGGAAGGAGAGCGTTACATCAGTTATATCGCACCGCCACGTCTGTCTTGACCTAGGCAGTGCCACTGGCTACTCTGCGGTCCATATTTGATAAGTATTGGTTCGATGATCCTACGGTCGATGGCATCAGGAATCGCTGGCGATATGAGGAATCCTTCTAGGATGCCTTGTTTGTACAATTCATATGCGACAGGATGAGTTTAGACTCATCTTCATGCGACAATAATTATACGAGAAACCTAGTAACTCAGCGCGCATACATTTACTTTGTATAATGAGCTTGCAGAAATTTGAATAATACTAATGCTACTTGATCACCTAACATTTGTTAACAAGATCAATTTTCAAAATGTGAGCTGTTTGAATTTGAGATGACCAAGTTTACGCGTATTTCTGCAAATTGGTTCGCTTGTATGACTTGAATTCTTCCTAAATTGCCCTAACGTGTCTCTTCATGCTGTCTAATGTCATTCCAGTTATTAAGAGTTCAAATAAAATCTGTGATACGTGAGTTAGCAATAATATGATAAAATACTTTACAGAAGTACGTATATAGAGAAAGTTATTGTGGAAAAATACTATCACTATAATTGGTTGTTAATGCTATTTATTTTTGATCAGGTATCAGCATGGCCGGGGCGACGACACTCGTCTATCAGGCTAATAATTGTTCATCGCCGCACTTCCTTCAGCGCCGACTACTCCCATCTGGCTGGCGTACGACATCTTGGGATAATTTTTGCTAAAAACATTTTTTGGCTCTTCTTAAATATTTGCAACAGTCAATAAAGACAGTGCCATAATGGGCTAGAAAAAACGCAGAAAATTATAAGGACGAGCTTTCAAATTAAATAATTCATCTGAATTTTCAGTAGAGGACTTAAAGAGATTTAAACATTACTGCAGAAAGAGATAATCAGAGAAAAACTTCCGCTACAAATTTTAAGTGTAGTGAATTCTTTTCAGGAGCAGGAAAACAGACAAATAACCGAAGTACGATTTAACAGTGAAAAAATTCCCCTCAAGGATTCATTGCAAAACCTAGGTCGACTGTCTGAGTGGACTTCAAATTGCGAAGCGAAAAGATCGTAGGCTGTCATCAAAGGCTTATTACCTTACGTTCAGGATTCGATGTCGGAGGGAAGAGTCCCGCGAAAAAAGTTGGGGATGATTTCACTATTTTTGTCTTCCTCATTCCTCACTGTCTTCCTCAATATATCAAGGTTTCACCGTCGAATATGTACTGAATTATTTTGGTTTACATTGCTCGCAACTAAATCATAGGACGACTATTGAAAATGCTGCAAAAAATTCCCTAAATGAGATTTTGTTGATTCAAATCAGAATATCCGGAGTGCTTCGGCATCTGCAGCACTTTGTGAACACGAAGAGTTTGTAAACGACGATTTGATCAAAACTGGAACGCAACACGTGGAGGCTCAGACTACTGACGTACCTACTACTGAATCGTTCCAGTACGATTGCATCTACCAGAAAAAGGAGTTGGGCTTGGGCAGCTCGAGAAACCTTTCATACCTTAAAACCGACAGTTCTCTCTTGTGCCTCGCAAAGATAATAAGTTTTCAATGGGTATTCGGATTTCTCATCCTCAAACGTCTGGGTGCGCCACAATTGTCGTCCCGGAATTTAGGAAGTCCAACGAAGAACTCAATGACTCTGACTACCAGGATGATGGCGAGGTTCTTATGCCAGAAAAGGTTCTGCAATCTTCGTGGATCAACAGAAAAAAGAAAGTGAGTGTCGCTGACAAATATAGGTTTTCTTAGTTTTTGTTTAGTGGAATTTAGTTCAGCTACAGCTAACTCTCCCTTGCACGCAGGTCTTTCACGGATGACCTGCTCATGACGGAGTTGGATTAGGTTTAGGGTTAGGGTTAGGTTTAGGGTAGGTTTAGGGTTAGGTTTAGAGTTAGGTTTAGGGTTAGTTTTATGTTTTGGTTTAGGGTTTGGATAGGATTTGATTTAGGGTCTGGTTTAGTGTTAGGTTAGGTGTTATTTTAGGCATACAAGAGCCTTGAGAATTGGCCTGTATGGATGGCACATCAAATAAGCTAAACAAAGAGCCTCTCCATGTGCAAGACACATTTACAAATGGTACCCAGCATGTCTCGCGAATCATTATCAGATATACGCTTGACACCGGGGCGTAAACCTCTTCATGAAACATGCGGTACGAGGCATCACTGCAAAAGCTGAAAGTTTGGCAAGTATTGATCTCTATCGTTAGGTTCGACTATCGACTACTGAGTTCTGCCGGCAGTTGCACCTCAGGCGTAGAATCATATCATGCATGCGTGTGATTGCAATGCGCTGATGGTGATGAACGAGACCATAAAAGAACTTCCAATCAGAAATTTGACTTAGTTTATAACGAAGAGGTCATGATTAAGGAACTGTACCTGTGTCACTGTCAAATGGCTGAATAGTGTCAGGGTTTTATACATGATGATTTTACAAATACATACTGTACCAACTTGTTTAAAAATGGATTTTTATTTTATTACAACACTTCTCTTTAACTTCACTTCTTGTTGTTTGTTTGTCTGCTATATCAATATTTAACAAACTTTTACCTGTCCAATCGATCTGAAATTTTGCACACTTGCGTAAAGCTGGAGAACATGCATGATTCAATTGCCAGAATAAATAATTTTGAAAATTAAAAAAAATCCTTAAAAAATTTTAAAAATAATTTTGTCTGCTACAGATCTTATAATCCATATTTAACATACTTCTACCTGTCCAATCGATGTGAAAACTTGCACGCTTGCATAAAGTTGAAGATAATGCATAAATCAATTGAGAGAATAAAAAATTTTACAATGTAATTTTTTTAAATATTAAAAAATTGAAAAAATATATTTTTCTAAATACATAAGAAATAAAAAAAAACATTCTACAGGTGTAACATCAGAGACATTGGCATCTCTAGAAGTGTTGTCTTTTTAGCCTATCAATAGTTCTCTGATAAGGAATCTTTTGCTCACGTAATATAAATCTTTCAAAACAGTCTGAAAATTTAACGGGAATTATGACCGATAATAATTTAACAGAATTTTCTTGAGGGCCATTTCTGTCTCGTAATACATTTTAAAGTTTCACAGCAATTCAAACGATTCAGTGTGCAATTGCGGTTTCCTGGAAATACATACTTAATTTATAATGATAAACAAACAATGGTTTCATTTCATACCGGTTGGAAAAAATTTGCGTATTCTTTCTGAGAAACTTGTTCACAAAACTGAAATTGTTCCTCGCAAAAAACGTTCGCACTTGATTGCAAAGTTAGACCATGAGACTCGACAACGATCGGTAGCACGAAAGGCGACATGCGATGGTATCAAGTCTCAGACAATTTTATCACGCGACAAACGTGAAAAAAATGTCTTCACTATGATTTGCAGCAAAACATTAACTTTAAACTATTATCGTATTTTGTCCATTGTTTATAATTTCGGTTCTTTTGTTGAAGTTAATATTTATAAACCACTGTACATTGAGTAAAAAAACAATTAGATTTGTTCTGAATGTTGTTGTCCACCATTCGATCGATTTCAATCTATCCATATTAGAATAAGCTAGGTTGTGCCGTGCTAGAACAACGAAATTAAAATGTCTTATGACTGAATATTCCGAAGGAATATCACGTGGAACTGAGTTCAGATAAACTGTCACAAATGACCTTCTGAATTACATTTGGTCTCTATTCCTTACTTGATAATAATTTAGATATATATTAGTATATGAGAAAAACATACCTAATAAAAAAATTATGTACAGATAAAAATTCGTATTTGCACATGCATTTTAGCTGCTGCCGTGATATAGTTGGGCCATATGTGGCCGAGGGCCGGGCAAGCGAGGGTTGCTAAGCAGACGGTAGGTAGGGCGACATTGCCCTGGCAACATGAAGCTTGGGAGGCGATGTAAAATATACGAACTCAAAGCTACTGGTCGATGAAATGCAGTGCAGCTTCTGATGTACCGTCAAATGATGAATTCAACGAAGCTCATTTAGGTGCTGATAAATGTTGGGTGCATCTAACGAGCATGATAAAGTATTTAGTCCTCGTGATGAGCGTTGAAAGACGTAAAAAGTTATAAATTGTTTACTGTTCCACAAATTAGGGTTATTCAGATATATGATCCTCGTATGGATACTAAGGTACTAATATTTTTCGTGACAAAACCTAACTACAACACTTCTCTTTAACTTCACTTCTTGTCGTTTGTGGGTCTGCTACAAATCTTATAATCGATATTCAACACACTTCTACCTGTCCAATCGATCCGAAATTTGGCACACTTGCATAGAGTTAGAGACAATGCATGAATCAATTAACAGAATAAATGATTTTAAAAATTAATTTTTTTTAATATTAAAAAAATAAAAAAAAAATAATTTTGTCAACAACAAATATTTTTATCGATATTTGACACACTTCTACCTGTCCAATCGATCTGAAATTTTGCACACTTTTGTAAAGTTGGAGACAATGTGTGAATCAATTGACATAATAAATAATTTTATAAATTATTTTTTTTCTTAAAAAAAATTAAAAATAATTTCGTCTGCTACAAATCTTATAATCCATATATGACACGATTTGACCTGTCCAATCGATCTGAAATTTTGCATCATTGCATAAAGTCAGAGACAATGCATGATTCAGTTGACAGAATAAATAATATTGAAAATTTACAAAATTTTGATATCTTAAAAAAATTTTGAAAAATAATTTATTTTAATATTTGAAAATAAAATTAGAAATTCATTGTACATGTGTAACATCCAAGACACTGGATTCTTCAGAAGTGTTGTCTTTAAAAAGTAATTTTTAAAAGCATATTATTTTAAACTTGTAACTTTAATTCAATAGTTTACACATACTTACAAGTTAATTAAAAATTATAGTATCAGCAATGCTTGAAGCGTGAATTTATTTTTCATAAGAATGCAATTCATTAACACGTTATTTGAATTTTTAATGTAAGTTTAATTCAGATTATGTTATTTGCATGAGGTTTCATCGATAGTGAGAAAATACATTCTCCTTAATCATTAACAAGTAGAAACCTAGTAATACCACACCTACGTATTAATGCTCAGGTGAAAGATATTGAAATGTTTACTGTAACATCCGTGTAGTTATGACACACATTTTAGTGCGTTAAATCTTCTTCCTAAATTATAGATTAAAGATGCAATTAAGAGCTGTACTGCCATGGCGGTAATATTCATGATTTATTTGTCAGCCTCCCAGCGCGCAAGGTAATGAAATAATGATCAGGCAATGTATATATAATATATATTTATGCAGCTATCAAGGACTACTACACACAGGACATGCATAGCCTATGTCCAGCCTCTGCTAGCAGAGGCGATCGCCTACACTATGAAAATGCTGTTGTTTTAGTGGCATCAACAAATGATATGCCCATAATTGTTTCATACAATAGTATTACAATGTGTGTAGTAGTCCTTGGTCAGAACCTGTCTCTTATACACATCTAGATGTGTATAAGAGACAGGTGTAGGCGATCGCCTCTGCTAGCAGAGGCTGGACATAGGCTATGCATGTCCTGTGTGTAGTAGTCCTTGGCAGCTATATAATATATATTTTCACTCACATACTTCTAGTATTTAACACGGAATCTAAGTAAGGTTTCTTCAAATGCAAAAGGTTTGTCTACGTCCGACTTAATTAATAATTATAGCCCCAGTTAAATTGTACACCATTCAGAGTTCATGCATGGGACAGCGTTCAAATTAGATGGGTTTTCCTTGACTTATGTGTTTGGTGAATGGATTGAACATTCCTCTGTGCTATTCGTGTAGTGATCGATACCAGGAAGTAAGTTTCGTTACGGAGCACCTCGAGCTGCTGCCGAGTGAATGATTTCGTAGTCTTACGTGCATTACCGCGATGAATAGCCAGCAAGGTTAGCACATCGTCCCGACGCTTGCACATCCGAGGAAAAGATTCTCGTAATAAGTTTCCTGAAGAATTGTTTATAATTGGTACATTGGGAGATCTAAGAGTCCAGGGATAGCATGCTGTTATGCAATACGTTATTGAATAAAATAGGTATAGGAAAGCATTCAAGTTGAATATCATGAAGAAATACTTACCGGTTGAAATACAGTGTAATATGAAGCCAATTTCAGCGGAGGCGCAACACGACGCAGACGGTTGAGGTGCAAACAGACGAGGTGCAGGAGGACGAACTCGACTGGGACCTTACAGACCTGCAGGACAGGGAGACCCAAACCCTTCCTGACAACCCAACGCCCTTCCGTGAGTTGAACCCTGAAAACCCAACGCCCTTCCGTGAGTTGAACCCTGACAACCCAACGCCCTTCCGTGAGTTGAACCCTGACAACCCAACGCCCTTCCGTGAGTTGAACCCTGAAAACCCAACGCCCTTCCGTGAGTTGAACCCTTGGGTGGGGCGAGTTCAACTCTTGGACTGCGTGAACTGTGAGCGCGTGACACTATTATTGCTAGTTCAGTTGTGTTGCTTAAATGTGTTCAAATATCAAATATATCATGCTGTTATTACACTACTCTGATCTCGGTGCTTAATATATTAACTCTGTTGTTTCAATTCACTATATCTTAAACATTACGCGTTATCAACAATAATTTTCAATATTCATGATGCACGTGGTGGTCAGAGTTGAACAGAACAGACGCGATGGTGCAGACAGACTACCGCTACTTCCCTCTCGCCGCGTCAGAAGCCAATGTCAACCCTGCCCAGCCCGAGCCTAAGAAAACGGTGAGGAATTTTCTCTCATAAATCAAAATGTAGTAGCCAAGTCACTTGTCTCAATGTCGATAAGACCGGTGCGTTGCTGATATTTTTATATGACGAAAAGCTGTCGCAAGTTATTAAAGGCACTTTCCGTAGCAACTAATGAGATTCTGCACGGTGTTATAATTAGCAGATCAATTCTTGCGAATCCAGTGATTTGATAAAGTTTTGGGTGAGCGCCTAACCATTCGTGATGGGGAGTGATTTCAATCATGCTTTACTTCTTCAATTTGATCGTAATTATTGCAAACCTTAGAATAGAGATTTTTATTTTTTGATTCCACACGTACAAACACCCTATTTTTTTCTATATAACACCTCGTCAGTTCCGGGATGCTGAATCGCAGACGGAACGCACGACGGCATCAGTCTCTACTCAGACGGAAGAGGAATTTTTGTTGCCGACAAGAGCAGCTTCCAAGCCTCCAGACCAGCCCCCTTCTGCTGTGCCGGAGTTAGGGGAGCTCAACGACTCAGCAGCGATTGCGTCGTCGGCAGCTGCGACGAATGCTGCCATCACACGCAACGTTAACAACATTATCCACATCACGCCTTATAATGTGTATGTTCCAGACTTAAAGGATTTTATCATACAGGGGCCAAAAATATGTATATTTTTAGCGCATTTTCTCATTTATGGAAAAAATGCACTATTGTGCTCGCCATGTCCGTCCGTCCGTCTGTATGTCCATCTGTCCGTCCGTCTGTCCGTGACCTCAAGTTTTCGTCGACGAGAAAATGCGCTCTCTGTCACTCACTGCAGTGAGTACTGCAGAGTTATATTTTTTTAGTCATATGGAGGCACTAATTGTAGATACTATTATTAGGTAATAAAAATTTTCAATGTGAATCATTTAAATGGTAGACAGCTCCAAGTTATTTGATGACTAAATTAGTAGTTTTTATTGTTAAATTTTTGGAATTTAATTCTTCAGAATCAAATTTAATTCAATTCCTGTTTATTAGACGGGAAAGCTCAGCTTCAAGTTCTTCTAAAAATTTCTCCAAAATGGACCGAAGGAGTTCTTCGATGGAGTCTTCAGCGCCATCAGTAGCTGTTTCTTACTCGCCCACTTCCTTACCATCACTGATGAAGCAAGGGTCCTTCTTGGCCTCCTCCAGCCCTTCACTCAGCGTTTCCTCCGACGTGGTCACTGCTCCTCTCAGAGCTCCCAAGGAGAACGCAGCTATCGCACAACGTCCTCGAAAAGATTCTATGGCGCTCTGGGAGACGCTTGGTCCATTCTATCTTAATGATCTTCTGCCAGTGGTGAAAGCCAGTCAAAAGTTCTACAGGAAGAAACGGAAGATGGTAAAAAAATTAAAGAGCAATATTGACTATAAGAAAACCACTTTACTTGGTATTTGCCGGTAGATTTCTCGCTACTAACATAAGGTCACCGTTATTTAGGTGCTTGACATAATGTCTGTTGTCTTTGTCACACAATTTTCGAAGCAACTTCTCACAAAACGTACTTGGCTGTGTTCTGGCTTTAAAGTTCGACTTTCTAGTTTCTGTCCAGACTCCTATGAAATTAATTATCATTGCAAGACCTTATTTCACAGGACTGGATAACATTTTCACCATATGCGATATCCCAGATTGACGTGAGCGTCCAAACCGAAACGAAGGGAGACGAAGAGTCTCCGGAATTCGCGGCGCGGCCACCGCCCAGCCGGAAAGAGGAACTCTTGCGAAATTTTAACCTCGCGGCACTGGACAACCGAGCGCTGGCAGCGTCCAGTGAGGTGTGTGCCAATTATTTATCCTTATGAATATCAAATCATTGTATTTAAAGTTCATCATGTCACAAGCTTCAAAGAACAATGCCTTTGTATTAATCTACTTAAAGTTCAATGGTAACACTCGCATTTATGGCTGCCACTCCGAGCTACATGAATGCCTCTGGCCGAATAATGTACCTCTGTAATAAATGTGCCAATAATGAATACAGAGATTTATGAGTACTATGTTCCTTTTATCCTTAATAAAATTATTTTATAATTCGATGATGTTTGCTGATGGTAGCAGACCAAGAATGTGGAAAGAGGATAAATTCTAATTGATTCGCAACAGAAATGAGTGAAAGTTTGAAATGTCTGCGACTTTTACACGACTGCTTATTTTCAGATCTCAAGAAGCATCGACCAACTCGTTGGATTTTTGTGCCCTCCAAGTTACAATGATCTGCAGAAGGTGCGGGTTATATTCAGATGGATCACAAAAAATATCAGGTAAGTTTTTCTTTATCTGAAATTTTATGGGATCAATTTCAGGAAATTGGATGTTACCAACCGAAGATATTAATCTTGTTTGAATATGACCGAAAGAATCATAAATTCAAGGTTATTATCGAGAGCACATTTACATAAAACATGTAACACGTAAGAAACATCTAAAAATACCTACAATTATTATGTATTCTGAAGGAGATTAGCTTTCACTGCGATTTACGTAACGTTTACGTAAACGTGCTTATGTAAACGTGTAGAGCACGTTTACGTAAGACATGAAACACATAACAGCATCTAACAATATCTACAATTATTATTTAATCTGAAGTAGATTTGCCTATACTACGATATTGCAGGTATGACTGGAAGTTCGTAGAGCGAGCACAGACCGCAGAGCAGGTGCTGCAGACCAGGGCTGGCGTCAGCAAAGACTTCGTAGCGCTGTTCCAGGCGCTGAGCGACAGAGCTGCGGTCAGGACCAGACGTATCCAGGGATTTGCCAGGAACAGAGAGTTCCGGTGAGAAATGGGATGAATTTGTGATAAAATATTCGGTGTATTGGTCAATTCAAAATTGGAATTGAACAGTTATATAAGGAGGACAAGGAAATCAATTGAGCGTCTTATTCAGTAGACGAAATTATTGAATTCTGAATGGTCTTAATTACAAGTATATGCGAAAAAATTCTAATTGCAACAATTGCTTTTGACCGGAAACAGTCCTATGTTACTATGTAATATGCATTCAAACTAGTATCCTGGATTACAATTAAATAATTAATTTAATTGTATTAATGAATTTAATTGTATTAATTTCATTTTTAATATTTACATATTCTGATTTAAATAATTAAATCAGAATATGTAAATATGTGATTAATAATGAATATGTGAATATGACCGATAAATCCGTCATAACTTGTAGGGTGGGACGTCGCTTCGACCCGTCCCGAGACGTGTTGCACTTCTGGCTCGTGGTCTTCATCTTCGATACATGGCGCTTTGTAGACCCAACTTACGGAGCAGGTATCTTACGATAATTCATTAATAAAATTAAAGTACATAATTTACAGTAAGTAATAAATCGGTTGTTGCTCGAATATTCTCTCCATCTTTGCACGTGTTGTAGAATTACAATTATCAATGATTATGTTACAAATTGGCAGTGCTTTTATGTTGCTTTTTGGCAGTGTCATCGAAGAAAACACCTTCATTATGCTCCTGTTTTCATATTCTTTAGTTAAGATATACAACTAGAATGGATACCTTGACATGACATGTATAATTTTACAATGGAGGGCCTGGATAAAAAGCTTATATATATTATCAAAAAAACGTTTTAAATTTAAAAAAAGTCCAACATCATGATAGTGAAATCTTCCATTTTAACCGCGGGGAAATAACGTTCGGTAAATGTAATTGAGTAATTTTTGTGTACAACTATAGGGTATTTATTGCGCAGGTTACACTGACGCACAGGGCAGGTTTCATGCCGTCCTGCAGGATCACTTCTTCCTCCCAGACCCCGACGTCTTCATCTACACACATTATCCTTACCATCCCGAGGACATCGGAAACTATTACAGGTCAGGGAAAACTTTCAAAAGATCATTCATTTAACAATTTAATAATATTTGAATTTTTCCTACAATGTAGAAAAGTTGAATGATGTGAATAAAATAAAAGAGGTTGAATATTTTTGGTTTTCATTTTTGCCGTCATAACTCCTGTTTTAGTTCAATTTACATTTAAATTAAGTGGCATGTCATTGTGAATTGTAATATTTTTTTCAGGTGGCAACTGATGGACGTTCCAATTTCACTAGATTTATTCAATAGTTTTCCGATGATCACTCCTCATTTCTGGAAATGTGGTCTGCGGTTCAGAAAACAAAGGACAAGTCCCTTCATATTTTCTCAACATGGAGACCTGCAGCTCGCATCGTCGGTTTACATGAGATATAAATATTCCTTCTATCCCGCGGACGAGGTTAGCTTGAAAGACTAATGTAAAATTTTGATCCTACATTAATTTTTGTTATTGAATTGGGTTCTTAAAATTTTAATTTTCACAGATGTTTCCAAAAGGTTAAGAGTGCTTGTTGTCGGTAGCAGAGTTGACCAATTTTTAAGCACGACTGTTCACATGCAGAAACCTTGGCTTATTTTTATAACATCTCTTACTACATTTTAGTGTATTAGATTACTTCAACGGACGCTTGTCGAGAGAAAAATTCTCTAATTTAAAAGACAAAACATGAAACCTGAAAGGTATCTTCATAGGATGCAGGTAATTTATGTTAATTAAAATTAGTCGATTAACAAACGCCTACGTACATTTAAAGGCCGAGAGTGATGTGATGAACCGCTGGGTGTTTGCTTCGTTGAAGGAAGGCGGCGCCGTGGTAACTTTCTCAATGACTCCTAACACCACAGCGCCTCTCGTCTTGAGGTTAGAATGCCTCACTCTTGCTCATTCTTTTTAGCGCATTTTCTCATTTATGGAAAAAATGCACTATTGTGCTTGCCATGTCCGTCCGTCCGTCCGTCTGTCTGTCCATCCGTCCGTCTGTCCGTCCGTGACTTCACGTTTTCGTCGACGAGAAAATGCGCTCTCTGTCACTCACAGCAGTGAGTGCTGAGTTATATTTGTTGACACCTTCTTTCAAGTTAAGTTCTTGTGAAAACACGTACAACTTGCGGACAATTACCTACGAAATTTCTTAGGCCTTCTAGTCTTAAAGTTTTCAACATATTTTCTTGAGAGTTGGCAAATAATCACTTGAATATTCATTGTTAAAAACAACCAGGTTAAATATGGCTTAGTAGCAAATATATGCCTCGCGACAAGATATATTTTTGTTTGACAGATTCTTACTGTAGCTGGTCTTGAACTAAAGTAAGTTTTGAAAGTGAGTTCTCTGTTCATGCTGCCCAAACAACAATTTTGAGCGATAATTAAGCATAAGGCTTCTCTGTCAGAATTTTAGCTCAACCTGAAGACGATATCGAGACGGACGATACTCCTTTAGGACACGTGGTCTCCTTCCTCGTCATTTGCACGAAGGTAAGGCGACAAATTAGTTGGCAACCGGGTTAGAAATTAATATTCTGTACGAACAGTATTGACGGATGAACCTCTAGCATATAATTATTTAATAATAATATCGGCAATATTATTTTTTATTAGATGTTTATGACGCGAGAAGTTCCAGAAAATGTAGAAATTCCTATTAGCACCTTTTTTTGTATTGCTTAAACTAATGTTTAATCTTGAACGAAACTTGGCTCATTCCTGGGCGATTGTTGTGAGTTTAGTATTAATCATAATAAAAAAAACGACCATGATCGTTTATATTATTAAAAATTCCTTTAGTATTGCGGGAAAACAATTCTTATTGCGACGTTCCGACCCCTTGAACATAATTAACTTTCTTAAATTGGGGCAGTGAAATTGACTGTTGGGTTCGTGACATCGTCTCGAACATTCATTTCCTTCTCTTATTAACTGGAGTCGAATTGTTTGTAATTTCGTACGTTTTCCATTACCAGAATAACTGAAATTTGTTTTTTTTTCTTGTTGGGTTCGTGACATCGTCTCGAACATTCATTTCCTTCTCTTGTTAACTTCAGCCGAATTGTTTGTTATTTCGTACGTTTTCCATTACCAGAGTCACTGAAAAATTTTGTTCTTGTCTTCTAATCAGCCTCGGAAATACTTCATCCCCTATCCCCCTCACGATGGGGTTTGGGGCGCCAACCCCCGGCTGTACCAGTGCGGTCTGGACCTTGTGAGTGAACCTGGCCCCTTGCTGGTGAGCTGGGGGGGCCGCAAGCACCTCACCTTCGAGAAAGCCTTCGATGTCCTCCTCATGTTCCAGTTATGCGATAAGGATGGCAATAACGTAGAGCTCAAGGTAAATGCCATTTAAAGTAGGGTTTGTATCATTCGTCACACTTAATATTGAACTCAAGCTAAACAAGTCAAGTTTTATCAAAACACAATTGATCGATATTAATTTTGGTGGTTTAAGCATGGAGAAACGGCTGAATGAGCTAGGAAGTTTTGTTTAAATTGCACAAAATAAGATAAGGCAAACAAAATAATAAAATGATTTTCTGTTTATGAGAAACTAACGCAAAAAAACGAGACATCCAGGACAATTATGTTGGTCAAATACACTTGGTTTAAAAATATGGCTTACATTTTTCCTTTGAAAATCGTTAACGACTTGAGACAATCTAATGATTTAAATATAAACAGAACAATTTTTATCCAGGGAATTCTGAAGAAGGATGAATCGGCAGATGAAATCCACGTGACCATCATACCCCCCAGCGTTGGCTACTACAAACTCCTGCTCTACGGCATTCCCAGGCCCGAGGTGTGGCACTCTTCTTCTCAGATCCTATTCATTTTGGTTTCCAGTCATGATTTATAATGAATTATTTACTATAATACGTTAATATCTCGAAGTGCGATACGAGTTTTCTCTGCTCACAATAGCAAATGAAAGATTAAAACGAAGGGATAACCATTAAGTACATTTAGGGCCAGGAGTTCATTGAAGTATAACAAGTAACCAAGTATCTAATCGATAAAATAATTAACGGTTTTACTTAACTTGGGAGTCATTTGAATTTAAAATTCGTTTGACAGGTTCGCGGTCGCTGGCGTTTGCCGCTGCTGGCCGTGTATTTGCTGGAAAGTAAGATGCTTGGACTGCCAGAAGAAGAGAAGAAACGAAGGGAACAAAAGAAGACGGAGAAATTGAGACTCAAAGTGAGAGCAAGATAATGAAGGGCGGACTGAAAACGCAGTACGATAATTCGCACAAGCATACGCAAATGAATATTGCGATGTTATTACTCAGTTGAATTTTAAGGAAGAAAATGTAAGATTTGTTGCCTAATTGTGCTCTAGCGGAAATTGATGTTGATTATTAATGATTCCCTGGAAGTTATAGTTTCGGAAATTTTGTTTAGGTAAGAAAAATTGTTCAAATTTTATAGGTCATGTAATAAGCTAAGTCATTATTGAGAAATGCTAATATATTCCAAGAATAAAGTGAGATTAAGTAATTGAGTGAATGAAATTAAATTTTATTAGGATATCGTGCAGTACATTGTCACAATAGCATTCAGAGGGGCATTGCTTGAAGCTTAGTGCGAAGTAGAAATATATTAGGAAGGAAAATAATTAAGTATGTATAAAATGTATAATTTCCTCTAGAATAAAAGCAAGAAGAGTTGAAACAGTAATGTTTACGCGAGAGACACAGAAGCTATGAGCATAAATTGATTCGTAAGTAAACTAATACTTTGAAGGATTGGATTTGCCTTTGTTTTATTTCATAATTGTTACAGCTAAATAATACGTGAAAATTTCCAAATTGATGTCTTCTTCTAAGAGGAATCAGAAAAATCCTGGAGACCGCAAGTTGGCTGGGCATTTGTTATTGTATAGTTTTAATGTACAGTATATTTTGTACTTACATTCATGAACTTTATGTACAAAATTGACTTTTAATGCAATTATATACTCAATGTTCAAGATCAGCTTCGAATTTGTTATTATATACAGGGAATTAATGCGCACTTTTTTCTTAAAAACACAAGTTGGCGTTAGGGGACTCAGGTCAGGGACTCTAATATAAAAAATCCTAGCCAATCCTACGTTCTCTTAATCTGGTACAGGGTAATTAGTTCGTTTTTCAATCGAGTGATATAATTATTTGGCATTTCATCAAACGAATAACATATAATAAATTGTTACAAATAATAATAAAAATAATAATATATAAATATTATTATTTAATAATAATAATATAAATAATATTGTAATAATTTGTAATTATATTTATATTAATATAAATAATTACTAATTGTTTGGAAGCGCTGCCAGACGCATCGTAAGCCTTTTGGCCAATTTCAGTTCGAGCTTTGAAGCCTAATTTCGTTTGTACCTTACATTAAAAAACAAAAACCTATGAGCAAACATTGTTTACGGTATAAATGACACGTTATTTGACTTCGTTTACATAACAGACAGAAACTGGTGTCACTGTTTTATGAACTGTGTTTCTTTCGACAGAATATTTGACCGAGATTGTGACATTGATCCACATCGACACTAGACAGCATGTCACTTTGTCTCTATCGTCACAACCTGCACATCATTTCCACTCTGACGTTGCCTTTTTCGTGATTTCTATGCTACACGTTTGCGTTAATTTCTATTTAATGAGGTAAATTAATTATTTCTTATAAATATACTCTAAAATTTGCAGGCAATGCGGGATATGCAAATGTATAACATGGAAGCTATAGGTATATTTATCGAAAATGACTACGACCACATATATGGTCGGCGGTAGAAACATTTCATTTTATAGCCTTTAAGCTTCTAATCAATGTACAGGCTTTGGAGATAATTTATAACCAATTTATGGTTATCTGTCAATGCTACGAGATATCTTGGGATGAATGATTTCGTGGAAGCTCAAATAAAATGTTGACTACTTCTCAGAAATAAATGTTATGAATAAAACATTTTTAAATTACATGGTGCGTAAATTTTGCGTCTTAGTTATAACCTAATTTTCTATCGGATATACAGTATAATTTTTCAAATGTAAATCACGTGATAGCCCCAAGAAGTGAGTTTATTTATTTGAATTATTCACACATGACAGTAGAATATCATCATCCTGTTCCTGAATTGAGACAACTTGCTTGAGTTGGCCTGTCGTGATTATATGAGAATTCGACTCGAATACGTGACACGAATTTTCTCGGTAACCTGCACAGCTAAAATAAACAAAGAGAAAACCGGTCTGGAGGAACCACAGATTTGGATTCAACAGTTTGTATTTGATGACCTTGTTTAACAGGCCAAGAAAAACAAACAGAGGAAAATTTTTAGAAGAAAATTGTCGTTTCCTCATAGAGAATTGACCTAATTAACATTAAGAGCTCTTATTATCGTCACTGGAAATAAAGATTGATGACAACGAACATGTTTACAAAAATTTGCCGTGAATTATTTTTAGAAACAAAAATGTTTAGGGTTGATCAAAATAAATACATCTTTTAATTAAACAGTATCAAATTCAGTAGAGAAAGTTTAAATGTTTAGGGCTTACGATAGGAACGACTTACTCGTGTTATTTTTTTGAAAAGTGCGTGATGCCGAAGTATTAACTGTGTTAAATCAAGTACATGTATACTAGTGTAGTTAGGCAGAAGTTCTTCATTTATGCACGTTTCATTGAAGACCAGAGTATGCTTTTTACTAACAATTTCCTTTTTGTTTTTTTTTTTTTCAATAAGCCGAACAAAATTTCTCGCTGGTTTTAGGAGATCGAAAAGCAAGTTACCAAATGACATTTTATTGACGTTTTGAATACGTCACCAAATGACGACGTTTTGAATATTCAATATTCATTCTCAAGTAGGTGAAGAGTTTCACAACACTAGAAATTTGCGAATGACATAAGTACATACAAAAGGTATCGTAGATACGTTCAAAATCAAAACTAAAAATTATTTCGAGAAAAATTTCGACGTCCTCAAAAATCCTGTGATTTGCAAATTGATAGCTGGAAACTCATATTTGATGATGGTATCGCCAGTCTTGTATATATCGGAGCACCGCATGATGATGCTGGTGTAGGTCTCATCCTAGATGATGAGAGCCTCTGCTATCACCTGTCTTGTAGTATCGGGGCACCGCATGATGATGCTGGTGCAGGTCTCCAACGTCGAGCAGGTGATGGTCTCGATGTGGGCCTCCCGCACGTGGTTCTTTGGTCCTCCAGTTTATATGTGGCATGTGAGTCGGCGGCTCAGGGTAGATCGTGCTGGTCAAACCGATGCAATTTAGATTTTGGAGAAGCCTATAGCCTTCTTTCGTGCAGGAGAATTTGTAAATGACACTAGCTTCATACAGTGGTCCTTACTTTTTACATGTGTTATTTTTAATGATTAAATTCTTGATATTCTTGTTTTTGTAGTAAATCAGGATTTTATTGGGTCACTTATTGTTTTGCAGCTGATTTTGCAAAATTGAGTTGAGGACTCTTTCATCTGCCCTATAACCGCTCTTCATCTGTTTTTGATTGTAAATTCTGGGTAAAATCTTTTGATGTGGATTCATATGTTCGGTTTCGACGTGCACGAAAATTTGAAAATTCTGTGTCAATAGTATTTTTCGCATAACCGTTGTTGACAAGAATTTGCTTGCAGGTCCGAGTTCAGTTTTCAAGTCACGGGTCGATGTACAGGTCTTGAACGCTTGATGTATGAAGGCGCGTATGGTGCTGATTTTGTAGCGTTGGGAACATTTGTTTTCTTCGTTCAGGACCTTTACGACGTCTGTAGGTTTCCGGTAAGTTTTAGTGACGAAGTAATTATCATCTTATTGCACCAGTTTGACTTGCTGAATATCAAGAAGCGTTATTTTCCGGAAAATAAGATTTATGGCTTTAATTGACAAAGTGAAACATTTCACACATTAGGCAGTGGCAAAAAAAAAAACAAGTGAACTGTAAACATGCATGAATAGTAAAATAGTAATGAAAAAATTCAACTGATAAAAGTATGTTTAAATTCGTGAAAAATTTCATTGACGTCTTAACTTCTTAGACTTTTCTTGTTTCGACCTTAAATTTTTTTTTGCTTGCATAATATATAATAATATTTTAGTCCCTTGCCTGAAATCAACAGCGTTGGAAGTGTAAGAACCACATAATAGAATCAATAGATTAAAAGTTATTACCTCGTCACCAGACACAAGAAAATAACAACCAAGCGCAAGTGCTTAAATATTTCATTAAAATGCCAAATCGTCTTGTGGGTATTGCTAAAATATGATCGCAATTGATTAATTTTTCTGTTTCTATTTTGATTGAATCTTCGTCATTGCAGTTTTTCTTTATCCTAGAATCCTACACATCCATACATGTCCGCAGCTAGTATAGCGCACATACACTATACAGGTATACCCCTCAAAAATGAATTGGTTGACTAATTAGTTTCGGGATGCAATGCGTATATCGTAGTAAAATTCTAGTACCCCGTACATGAAAATAATGCATTAGTTGAACATCAACTCTACTGTATTTCATGAGCTACTGTTAATGCTCATAACACTGATGCAATGTTAATTACTTAATGTCAACTATTGTTTCATTTACACTGAAGTCTTTGTTGACAATTTGGCAATTCTATGGAAATGGCGGACTCACAAAATGAATGGGTGGTTATATTCAAATAGTGACAAGTTTATTATACGCGTGAACTGTTACCCCGTTATACAGGGACAAACTGACTCAGACTGACATGGGCGTTTAAGTGCATCAGAGTTTGGACAAAGTCTCATTCATTTATTTGAGTGACATTAAGGCCACAGTCTCATTCATTTATTTGACCGCCAACAAAGTCCATAGGCTAAAATCACAGGAAAGACGGTATCGCTCACGTGTGGTTTGCTGAACGAACGAAGGAAGGAAGACGATAATAATTAAACAAGGCAAATAAATCTTTTATTATTCCTACAAGCACTCCGCACAATTTAATGCTGACAAATTTCATTAGTTTTTCCGAATTGCGGATTGCAATGTTAGAAAATTTAGATTTAATTTAAACAGTTTGACTAAATTGTTCCAATTATAGCTAATTGAATGAGATTAATGAATGATTAGATGAGAAAAACAAGTAAATTTATCTTACGTGGTCGAAAAATTAAGTTGAAAGACCCGAGGGAGAGTAAAATAAATTATCTACAGTTATGAGATTTGTGAAAATTCTAGCCGCGTTTTATGAGGTTGACATGAATACAATTGGTTAGGACGATGTCTATAGGAAGTTTTGGCCAATAAGTTAGACAGATAATCTGTAAAGCTTCCTTCTTAATCTCTACAGCTACAGTCTCAAAAATTGCCATCTATAACAATATAATTTTAATGACCCCATTTACTAGTAAATAAGTTACGTCTGATGTATTGCTAGGCAGCCGAAAATAGCTGAATTATATTCGCGATGACGCCACGAACAAACTTTTAATGAAGGAATTCTTGCGGCTATTCCTTCAGGAAAATGTGGCAATGATTCCCACTAATATATACAATAGGCAGAGCATCTAAAATATTAATATAACAATTATTAGTTAAACAGCGATTTTTTCAATTTTCTCGTTAATTCATACGCGATAAAATTTCGGTCGTCATGATATTTAATTATCGTCTGATACATGGAAGGAAGAGCCCAAATTCCAGTCAAATTCTAAAATTCTACATTGACTATAAAACACCTTTACATTAGAAGAATGATTTTAGAAAGAAGCATTCGAAGGATCATAAATTCCAATGCCAGCTTGGAACAACGCTACCAAGTCTCTTCACTAGTTCAATATCAATGAAAATAGTTAAATTTTTCCTTAAATGTTGTAAATATTTTAAATTCCAGGCAAGGGTTCTCTGTGATAGCTATATGGTCTTCTTTTACAATGGAGTTCACTTAGCGGCGTCAGAGGACATAAACTGATTTTAAATATTTATATTGCGGTGAGAGTGTCAAGATAAACCTATTTAGGTACAAAAACTGCCAATATTGAGTACTTAATCTGAGCGTTCGAAACATTTTTCTAATTTTCAAATGTAATAAAGAACATTGGAGAAAAGACAATAAAGTTCCATATGTTATTGCTTATGTTCCTTGCTGCTCCTAGTAATGATCTTCTTGGTGTCATCTATTTTCTATACTTGAAGAATTAAGCTACTACCAATTGTTCTGTAAAGTTTGATCAAAAATGCTAATCAAGTTCGATAACATTTTGAAATTACAGCAATTTAAGTAACGGGCAATTTTTTACAGTTTGCTGGGCAAATTGCAACACTGGCTTGGAATTTGTTCAGGAACTACAAATAGTTTTATTAACATTAAATTTTTAATCTGACTAAATTTAAATTCGATTCGATAATCTTTACCATCGAAATGGTTACGTGACTATTTTTACGATTATCATAAATTCGTTGAAGAATTTTACTTCTATAGTTTAACTTTTGCGATTGTTGAAGGGTGTTTAGTTTTAAAATATAAATTACCCTCGCTATGTTTGACAATACGAATCTTATATTATGCACACTTCAGTAAATTATTTACTGCTAAATCTTTATTATTTGCCGCCACCGAATTATCACTATCATTATATCGAAAATTTTTCAACTGTTGAGCGGTTATTAATACGATATCCAAAGTCAACAAAAGCGACACGTGCTAATGTAGCACGAATATTAAATTCCAAGCTGTTTCTTAAATATTATTTAAGGAATATAGTTCTTCCTTAACAATGTTTAGCATCAGTTAAACAAATAACTTTCTAGTACTTAATGTACTGCTAGTTCTCTACGGCAGCTATGCATGCAATGGCAAAAACAGAGTTTACGCAGAAAATACGAACTTTTTATCCTAAAACTATTATTGTCAATGAGCTTATGGTATTTTCATAACAAGGGAAGATTTATGCTGCTATCTACATAAAATTATTTTTATACTAAAGCCTGCTGCGAGAGAGGTTATAATATGCGATTGAGATTATATTATCGCAAACCCAAATTTGAGCATCTCAGTAATTGGTTGCTCTGATCTCACAAAGATCTGCACAAGACTCGCCAACTGAGAAATTTGTTGTGCGAAGAATGTTTTTCAGAGAAATAATTTTTCTCTGCTGTGACGGAAGGCATAAAATGAATATATTCCAAAGCAAGTCTTATTTCTTGCTACCGAGACCGAAATTATGAAATTAAAGCATTCCAGAGTACTTTTTCGGCACCAATGACGGAAGATATAAGATGACTGTATTCAAATGTACTTATTCTTTCCAACGAAGTGGAATTTTGAATTCATCATCGTCAGGCTACGATAAAGCTTACGGAATCTGCTGAGTGAAGATTTCATATGCTTCATTTGAAATGACTGCATTTTATTATTGATCAGGGGTCATACTTTCAAAACACGCCAAGTGAACGTAAGTAAGTACCTACGCTCTATTTTCTTGTCTATGATTGGTGGATTTTGCTGGAATGGCCGTCACTGATTGACTGATGAACTTACGATCTCTAAACTTTTTTTGAAAGTATAGGCCCAGGCATTGGCTAATGGCTACTATATGCCTCTTAAACGGTGAGCTTTGGAATATGCGGGTGCACAGCAAGCGGTCAATGTCGTTCCCTGGAAGCACGCCAGTTTATTTATACTGATAATTATTTGTCTCGGAGAAAATCTAATCTAATACTAAATTCACGGTTTTCCGCGATCTCTTTTCTGAACAAGAATCGATTGAAGTAAATGTTGCTAGGAACTTTGAAAATCTGTAGTAAATGAACATTTCTTTTCCATTTAAACTTGACTTATTTCAACAAGAGCTGTCCCATCCTATGCATATTTATTGTACATTAATAATCATTTTATTTATTCTTCAGTAATGATTAAATAAATGGACAATGGTGAAGCATTCAGCATTAAAAGAGACCACTATACGAACAGTTTTTATCTCCCTTCAGTTGCTTAAAAATGCCATCTGACAGCAGCAAAACTAATCGGCGGAAAAAGCTGTACTTCTTATTTAAATGATCTCATTTTCCCTCCCGCACCTCAGCTCAGGACTAAAAGCTTCGACAAACTTCAAACATTCACCTCAACAATAACAAGTTCCTTCGCGGATAAATCGCCTTCAGTTTTCTCAACCGTATAAAATTTCAAAAACCATTTCTTCACTTTCAAAGCACTTTAAAATGCCACTTTTTCAGAAAAAAATTCGCTGGGCAATTAAATATATACAAGGTTAACATTTCATCCTTCAAAAACTCCTCTTCAACAGTTGATCACATCAACCAGCAGGAGAGCTAGAAAATTTCCCGTTCTGTACATAAGAATATCGAAGAGCAAGTAAGACCTCAAGTACTTCTAACGTACTCTGCTCTCTTGACGAGGGGCAAGACGAGCAGGAATACGACCGAGCTCACGGTGGTGACCACGAAGAAGACCCAGAAGAGGATTCTGTCCACTGCGATGGCCACTGTCCTCCACTCGTTGAGACGCTTCAGGTCCGTGTCCTGACGCAGCTGTCGGCTCAGCAACGCCCTTAGCGCCATGAGGATCTCCTCCTGTAGGCGACAACCTCCCGCCACGACGGGGCTGTGGCTGCGAATCGTGAATGTCATTACTTTGAGTTGATAAGGACCTACTATCATCACTAGGTGCTGATTTTGGTATGCCATTGTTGGAAATGCTTTGGAAATGGCATGTCGTCGTTGGCTAGCATATATAATGATTATAATGATATTTCATCGTTGGCTAGCGGTGATAATATTAATGGCGTAATGTACGACCTTTAATAATGATATAATAGTCGCTATTAATTTATTAATTACGTGTTATTATTACCTACATATGGACGTCATCATTAATCTTTATTTGAAGATAACACGAAATATTTTTAGTCGTTTACATGCTTTCATTCATGGCGGCTCAATTGCCACATTCTTAGGCACTCGATTATAAGTTAACTTTAATCTCACAGTTCCCGGTACTAACTTTTTAGTCAGAGAAATTTAATCGGCAAACATGATAATTGTATATAATATATAGATAATTCTAGGAATAACATATATTTAGATATTAACAATGACCATATCAGCACATAATTTACTACCCTGGTGTGATCAAATGTTTGCGTTGCTAGGGCAGACGTTAGACCTGAAGCGAGATTGGATATTAGTTGTTTCCAAAGCCGTGCAACGAAGCCTGGATAAAGATCAGGCTTCGATCTTTGTTTAATTCTTTGTTCAGGCTTCGATTCAAAGATCAGAAATGATCCACAAATTAGTGTCAACATTTTATGCCCATAAACTTATACGTTTTGATGAATGCCCCTTGAATGCGGGTGACCACGGCGGAAATTAGAACGCTTTTTAGGGTTATTAATTCTCTAACATTCGATGTCAAAAGATGCCTAATACCAGAAATAATGATCGAGTAGGTTCTACAAAAGGACAATCACCCGGTAGAGATAATTCTGCGGAAAGTAAATCATCTGATGGAGTTGATTCTGCGGAAAGAAAATCCCCTGATAGAGTTTGTTCTGCGGAAAGAAAATCACCTGATGGAGTTGGTTCAGCGGGAAGAAAATCATGTGATGAAGTTGGTTCTGCGGAAAGAAAATCACCTTATAGAGTTGGTTCTGCGGAAGGTAAATCAACTGATGGAGTTGGTTCTGCGGAAGGTAAATCACCTGCTGGAGTTGGTTCAGCGGGAAGAAAATCACCTGATGGAGTTGGTTCTGCGGAAGGAAAATCACCTGATGGAGTTGGTTCTGCGGAAGGAGTTGGAATCGTTGTACTCGCGCCATCCATAGTTTAGGTCTTCCACACTAGACGCGTCAACCGCCACGAAGCCGTCGGTGCGTCCGTCTTCGTGGACGCCTTCCACCGTCAGGTGGATTGTGTCGGCCTGCTGTGGGCTCAGAGTAATCAGTGATTACTTGATAATAATATGATTTTCGTGGTAATGATATTGTGAGCAGATTACAGACTTATATGATAATGATACTAGTGTGCTGATTACAGACTTCGATAACATTGATATATCGTTCATCTTCAGACAAAAATATAAAGCTATGATTAGTGTCCTAAAAAAGAAACATTAACAATGTATTTGTATGTCTCATATCCAATTAACAATGATCATTATGAAATATATGAAATGAAAAACATTGTTTTTAAGATTTTCTGGATTTTTCCTAAATTTTAGTTACGCCAAAAGATGTTACTTTTATTTTAGGATAAATTTTCTCGTCAATTAATAATTTTTTTATGTTTTGAAGTTTGAACTAATTGAACGTCTTATATTTCCTATCTCAATGCATTAATATAGCTCTAATAATAAACTCATTATAACAATCATTGTACCAATATATTATAAAATTATTAAACAATTATTATAAATTATACCAATATATTTCTGTTCTGTAACATTTCTTCACTTTCGGAAAAAGTGATCACTTGTGGGATCTTCGGACTTCTATATTATATATAAGTAAACACTAATAATTCCTAACTCCCATTACGTGTATATGGCCACTACGTATCAAACATATTACTTACTACAATTCAATGCCACTACGTATTAAACAAGAACCCACTTTGAGAGTATGGTCTTTAGCGATGTTGTTGGTGAAGTCTCCCAGGAAGGAAGAAGTCATTACTTTAGGCGGAGCCACGTTGTTCGAGTTGCTGTGTCGGCCGCTCGCATTATTCTCATCGGGTTCTTTGGGTTTGGCCAAGGACCTGTTCCTCCACTTCAAGCCGAAGAAAGAGTGAGAGTCGTTGGGTGACGTCAGAGTCTCTTTAGTGGAGCTCTGGTTGTTGTTGGAGCTGGTATGGCTGTTTCTGGTAAAGCTGCGGCACTTCTCGACCAGGCCAGAATCCAGGAATATTCTGAAAGTGACATTGCAGTTAAAAATTTTCAAAATGTTAATAAATATGTTGGTGATAAAATGCCTTTCATTCTGTTGGTGAATTTCCAAATACACAAAAACTGTGAAGAAAATACCTGGAAAATATTACTATATACTAGGACTTTTCAGTGTGTTTGCATCTATTGAATAAGATGTGCTTTTTGCTAAATCTATCGATTTCAATAAAAATGATCGGTTGAAATCAAAACGTACCTCCTCATCCAGGGCGAGACTTCCTTCTGAATGGGGCCACGGTAGTGGCAGTTCAACACAATCACCGTCATGATGATGGAGATGGAAGTGATGGTCATAACGGCAGTCAGGTAGATCCCTAAAAACACAATGACATTTCAAACAAGTAAGACAGAAATTTAGTGAATTTACTCTTTGTAATAATCAACGAGTAAATTATTAATATGGGTATGACACTAGGTAGTGGAGCCAAATTTGTGTTCTGGATCTTATAATGAGGCGGCAAGAACCATGAATGCTTCAGAGCAGTAATTTCTTCGTGATACTTTTTAACCGCACGTAAATCCAATTCGCGAGAACACTCCAAAAACTGAAGAAAATAACGCTGAAAATGTTAATTTAAACCAGAAAACAGCAAATTATACCTAGGTTTGCTTGAAAATTTCACTCAGACAGGCATCGGTAGGATAATGGTGCAAATTTCCTTCTGAATTAGGCGATCGCAGGGCAAAGCAAGGCTAACAAATAAACTGAAACTATCACGAGCCTGTGAGTCTGTTCTGCCATGAAGCTGTCAGCGGCGTAATCATTCAGAAGGATGATATAGGATCCTTGAGGGGATTTAAACGTCAGCTAGGATAGCTGCCTCATCCAGAGTGTGCCAGAGAAGGATCAGTCAATTGATCGAGGAGCGCAAACACGGTAGTATTCATGATACTTAAGAGCTATCTAAAATATATCGTTAAGCCTTTGAAGTATCGGCACAGCCAATGTTTCCCAGACTTTGACTGTCATTCATAAATGAAAAGATGATTCATGTAATCGTTACAGGGATCTGTGATCCATGTACTTTGATGCTTAAAAATACGCATACATGGCCTTTTCAGTAGAAAAGAATTTCTGAATAACTCTTACGTTTTAAACAGAATTAAATTGATTGTCCTGACATTAGCGCAAACTTACTCCTCACGATGGTCATGTGATTTTAACAATTTTACTTCTCTTGCAATTCCATCAAAACTCGAGTTACCGGGAGCGTCGTTTCGGAAGCATCAACCATCGGGGAAGCGATTTTTTGGGAAGTGGTGTCAGCGACCGCAGGACCAGCGATACGGATCCTATCTTTTCTTCTGCAGTATCAAAAAACTCCGTAATATTTCTGACAAATTACACTCGCACGACGCATGTTCGTGCCGTGTTTCCTGCCGCTCTCAAGGCTCCCAACTTTTCATTACAGTTTCGCTGGTGCAAGAAAAACTCGCCTCATATTTGTCAAGTTTCGATGAGGTATTTATCCTTCCTGTTATTCCGCCAATATATTGTATGTGATTTCTGGCTGAAAATATTTTCTTTATCCAGGGATTGCCGTAGTTGAATCTTACAAAATGATCAGTTGAGGAAATTTTTGCGAAGCGGAGGAATAAAATGAAAATTATTGAAAAAATTTTGAAATAGCTTTAAAGTGTCTAAAATACTAGAATTTAGGTATAAAATGTATTTTGAAGATCAAGTAAAACAATAGTTAAAGAAAATATGCTTGTCATACGCTTTATATTTTTGGATCATAAAAAAATTATGCCACTGCCTTATCTTTTCGTCCCCAGCGTATAGTTTAGTGCAAATGGGATATCTAAGAAGCGCTCGTTGATTATTGTTTGTGTGAAGTTTACTGGCAACATCTCCTATAAAATATTGAAGTGAACGAACTCTAATATCCCGAAACAACAGCCGGCGGAACGACCAATCTGCGGCCTTTATTGTGCAGCGTCGAGTTAAGAGTTAGGGCAGAAATTGACCAACAATTTATTCGATTTATCGAAATCGGTGCGGCGTAACACTACGTTGCAAGGTACACCGAAAAAATTAAAGTTACATTTCAAGGTACACCGAAAAAAGTTTTTTAAAATCAAATTATAAAATTAGTCTACGGCTGATAGCTGATGAGATTGGCAGATGTGGTTAAAAATCAGACCATAGAAATAATGATAAATAAATATTATCAGTATTACTAGGAATTCACATGGCCTTGCATGGATGTTGGATTTTTACTTTACAGAATTTGTGCTGGAATTTGATGTTTTCATATTTTGGAATATTCATCTAACGTGCATAAAACACATTAATTTATGTAACAATCTTGTTCGGCAAACTAATGACCACTCGACAAAGATGGGAGTCACAGGCTTGCCTTGACTAACTTAATAACCAACTAATAACTTCTCCAAATAATTCTATTATAATGCATCAGTCTTTAACACGAAGCGAAAAATATAACAAAACGAGACAGAAGTCTGAAAATACAAGGAATTTATATATGATCAAATTTATTTAAATGTTCACCTTCTTAAATATTAAAACTTGCACTTATGAATGGTAAATTACTATCTTCATTGACACTGAGGAAAAATTTGTAAATATTCATTAAATCCTATGTAATTTAAAGAAAGGTACATTTAACATTTAAGTTAACATTTGAGTTAATGAAAAAATATCACATCTTGCGATTCTAATCGCGTATATGCCTGAAAAATGGCAATCTATGGAATATTCAGTGAAATATTGAAATATTAATTTTTTCCAAACTATTAGTATTCGTTTTAGTGGCATTCGTGATACGCATCAGTTGAAATTCGTATAAAAAACCCCGATCGTGAGAGTCCAATGCAAAAAAGCTAAGTAAAGCTTGAAGTCCAGTCGGACGTGGCCAGGGTGCTAACTCGTACCCAGGAAACCGTGTCGCTTCCTGACAGTTTTATAAGCGCCTTCTCTTCCGCTAAGTTTCTGGCACTAGTTTTTTCTTTCTGTTTTTCCTTTAAAAGTGCCGTCAGAAGACCAAATGTTCCCACGTGGGCCATCAGCCTAATTTTTCGCAGCGATAGCTAATTAAAAATTGCCTTATGCATCGGTAAATCGTATGTTTATAATCGGTTTACTCTAAGAAAATTCACATATTTTATATCCACTAGTATTCAAAAAACTTCTCACTAAAGTCGGATGTAGGTGTGTAGTCTGGGAAATGCTTTGAAAATATTATGCAATAATATCAGATCATAAATTGTCTTTTCGTATGGAAATTAAAACCTTACACGAAGCATCCCTTCATGTATGCCACATCTTCCAGTAATATTTTATACGAAACTTGCGATACGTGAACCTTTTTGGAAACCACTTCCTTAACACTTCAATAAAATTCTTTAAGAGACATGACAGTTAATGCAAGAGATCTTTCAGGCATTCATACGAATTTAATTGCACTGAAAATGCCAAGTGATAAATTTTTTTAATTGTTTGATTACTTGCTTTCAGTAAGCATTTTTGGCGGTTGGATAGCTCTAGTTGTCGGTGGATTAGCTTAGTGACTCTGTTATGGATCACATATATTCAAAATATTTATAGACTGGCCCCCAAAAAATTGGATTTGAAGCCAAATAAATGTTCATGCTTAAAAAAATAAAGTGCAAATAAAGCGTTTATCTTCATGTAGATAGCGAGCAACTGCATATCAATATCAATCGGAAATACATTTCTATACGAAATGCAAACCGAAGAATTACGCATGGAATTTTTTAAGTATGTTAAAATGGTTTAAATTAAGATTTAGCTGTTAATTAAAAGTTTATATGCGATTGAAACATTTCCGCATAATTTTCTTCAATGAGGTTCAGATCAATAGTAGAAATTTCTCAGTTTTACTTATTAATTCTATTGCTTTATCCTATTATTTCGAGTTTATCTATTAGTGTAGACTCAACGGAGTCACTCAAATTCAAAACTTTAGGCCACAAATTCAGAAATTCATAATTTGTTACTAATTACAGCAGTAAGTAGGATATATCAAGTAACACACTCGAAATTATATACCCACTAATTACTTTGAAATTCACCTATTGGTGAGTGAGCCTTTCATTTCTCCAAGAGCCTTTTCCCCTTTTGTAGCCAAGTATGCCCTTATGCAGTACAAACTTCAGAGAGATTAACAATCAAATTCAACTGTTTATAGGCTTCTGAATTTTTTTTAACAAACTTCAGAAAGAATAACAATTCAATTTAACTGTAAATATGCCAAACTATTACCAATTCTCGGTAATAGTTTGGCCAGAAGACTCACCAATGAGTGGGATAGACTCTGAGGTCTCTGGCATTTTTTCGGCAATGGCGAGCATGAAGACGCTGAAGGCGAGCAGCACCGTGACGCCCAAGGCAATCTTCTCGCCAGAGTCCGGGGGCAGGCAGAACACCAGCAGCGTCAGCACCGACATCATCATGCACGGCAGCACAACGTTGTACATGTAGTACAGCGTCTTGCGTCTGCCATATTATATTATTAGAAACTATATTGTTTAATAAATTCAGTACACATTTTCATTCTCACATTCTTTTTATTAATTTCATTCCTACAACGTAAAAATGTATTACAAATTTATATGTATACGATATAGTTTAACTTGAAAAATGTTAATGATTCAGAAAACATTTCTGATTTTAATCTATACGGAAAAGTTCATTATCAGCGGTGGTAGTCAAGCTCGCCTTTTAATCTGATTTTTCTTGACTCTGCAATGAGTTTTATATTTTAGTCTGAAGGTAATAAATAAAATTTATTGGGAAATTATTGGTCATCATGGACGCCATGCTGCATCAGTCGCATATGGAGCTGGATTTGGTCGAACGCAGAATCCAGCTCAATTGAAGCGATTTATGATTGCATTCGGACTGCCAAAGGTGCGGCAAATTAGACCAATAACATCAAGCAAGACGAAAAAGTGAGCACAACCAGAATTGTTGAATCATAGGAGGAATTACTGACGAGATTCAGCGATGTCCCTCGACAGATTATTGGTTGAACGCACTGCTCATTTTATATAACAAACAAGTCGTTAGCGTCCATGTTCAGATATTGTTGCGTTCGAATTGGTGCATAGTTTGTTCCTAGAATGCATCAATCTGGGCAATAGTTATTCATTTTTGTAACGCAAATTATTAATGAGAAACTGTCCCTGCGATTTGAAGCGTGAATTACAGCTAAAAACACCAGGTATTAATGTCCACATGCGGCAGCCGTGCTTGGGGTAACCCCTTTCGCTAGTTTTAATCGGCGATTAGAGCCGTTTTAGAGCAGCCCGATGGTCGGCCACCCTCGAATCCCCCTTGTTTTTTGAACAAAATGCCTAGATTGTTCCCAAGGCACAAAAGATAAAACTTGAGCTTTCCACTCGCTACATTAACTAATTTGATGCAATTCTTAGGATTCCTGGCCACCATCCTGGGGACTCTTGGGGCAAAGGAATGCGTTCATCCCCTGCATGACATCGCTTAGCCTGAGTGTCTTGGTGGTTCTGGTAGTGATAAATGTGGCTAAATATCAAGATCATTACATAATATTACGTTAATTATTAATATTACATTAGATAATATTACCTATAATGTTGAGCAGTAATACGAATTATTTTCTGTATCAAAACTTGATTTGTCGAAATGCTATACGAGTTATTTCAATTTATATTATAATTTTTGTCGAGTAATAAATAGTACAGTGATGATCTGGACTTTTTTTTATTCCGTTTCAGGTTCTAGAGGCGCTTCAACCACAGAAACTGTCAAATTCTGAATTAAATGGCTATTGAGGGCGCAAATTCTCAAAAGACCTGAAAAAGTTCAAATACCAGCTGAATAATCCATGAGACCTACGCTAACTAACGGTGGACAAACAACTTGCGATCTGCAAAACTCGCCTGAAACGCAAAAACTTTATAATTTTCGTCAGCTTTTGAGTCCCGACTTTGCTGACATCTTGCGATTGCTTCCTATTGAGTCGATTGCCATACGACCGACTTCCAAAGTTCCACTTTTTAAGATTTGATCGATGGAATATGTCACCTTTGTTCGAAGATCACATTGGAAAATCGTGTTTTTAAGATTAATTTGCAACCTGTACGAATATTTCTATTAACCCATTCAGTAATTGTACTTTGATTAAATCTTCCATATTTAAATTAGATCAAAATTTGTATGGTATCCGGAATTATTGTTTTCGATAAAAAAAGACTGTTGAAGAACATACAGGGATTAAAATCTGTATTCCTTAGATTTCCACGATTAGTGAAACGTAATCAATATTTTCCACTAAGGGCGACGTCGAAAACAAAGTCGAACTAAAGTAATATCGCAGAGCGGCTGTGCGTTGACCGTCCAGAAGAAGACTAACGACTTCTGGCGGCAACCCGAGGCCGAGGTTCTGATTAAGAAACCCATCACCGAGAGCCTTCAGCTCTCAAAAAAATTGAGCCATTGTTTTGACGCAGTCAAGGGACGATATTAGACCAAGCGCGACGCCTTCCACTTGAGAAAAATACACTGGCGCTCAACTCCAACTTGAGATAAAAGAAGAAATTTTTTCATGTGGTATATAATTGTGAATAGGATCTCAGGTATTACAAAAAATCTGAATGACTGTAGTTGCATAATAATACCGTTGAGATAAGATAAGAGTTACATATTTGTTGATGTACAATTACAGTTCGTAATTTTAAAATCGTAGGTAATATAAATTTTTTGCTCGCAGGGTGTAGGCATAATTCCTCTATCGAAAAATGCATTAAAACTAGTGTTTCATGCGGGTTAAAACGTCCAAACCTTTCTTGTGGAATCAAATATAATTTTGAAAATTTTAGACAAGTCATTCAGTCCTAATCAGTCTAATGTTTAATAATTTAATGTAAAGACAAAGAAACAAATAACGTCGTATGTTCATTTCATTAAGATTCCCCAACTTAAAATGACTAGAACTTTGCTGAAATTTTTAACGAAAAAAGACCCTCCAAAAAAAAAACGAGATGTCCTTCAGTCGTCTGCTAAGCGCAGCAAACAACTATAACTAAAAACCTAAACATCTTGTAATGAGACAAGAATTATTACAAGCAGTCACAGTTGCGCCCGTCTTCAGATTCTATTTCCTCAGCTCCACGAAAAGCTTTCTGTTTTACTCGAGACGAAAATCACAAAAATTTTGTCAAGACAAGAGTTTTAATTTAATTGTAAATGATGTCCGATGGCTGGATAAATGTTTAAATATTTTAAAAAGTTTCAAGAACTCGACTTTCAAGTTATGTTGTCTACGATCTTATAGAAATGAGTCAATTTCATGCAAAATAATCGATTATGTAATAATCATTACAATAGTGTAACGATTTAGGACGGCACATTTAATTTATTTAATGGTGTCGTGACAGGGTTATAAAAATCGAAAAAAAGTATTTTATTTATCATTATTTTATCTATTAATTTTATATATTAAATTCAAATTAAGGAATATGGAAAAATTTATAACAATTAATCCGTGTCTACAATTAATTGAATTTTTTTTATCCCGTGCATATTTTAAATGCATAAGCCGAGGATTTTGCACAAGTAGTCACGGGAGACAAATTTTTCGCCTGAAAAAAAAATGGAAAAAATTAACTAAAATGAGTCCAAATATGCGAGCTGGTGACATCAAAATCTAATGAATTTGGTGAAGGTTACATGATCTCATAGCCACCCTGATGGAATTGGCGTTAGGTAATTCATCATCTAGTCAACCTGATGCAGCTGGTATTTTTGATGTTATCACATAACTAAACTAATGAAGATTGTGAAGTGAGAGCGCCACTTAAAACGAACCTGATGGAGCTGGAGACATTGAAATAGCATTTCAAACTGTTGGTAATTGTGATAGTGACGTCATCACCCAACTAGCCTGATGGTAATGATTATGGTTATATTATGGTAATATAATTATGTCAATGGTAATAATTTGATGTAGGTGATCGTGACGGCATGAACTAACCTGTCATGCTGATGGCAGTGATGATGTCATTACATAACAGACATAATATCAGTAAAGAATGTAATGCAACCACCCAACCGACCTGATGGTGATGGTGATGGTGACATCAGGGAAGGGTTCAGGACAGCAGGAGTAGTAGATAACATTTCTGATGATCCTAGCCTCGAGCAGCTCCCACTCGCCGTTAGAGATGTAGTTTGTGAGGTCGACGTCAGCGGTGCGGTTGGTGACATCAACCTACATTAAAGGTACAAATCTACGTACAGAATTTTAGTGAAATATGAAAGCTACCAAAGTCTCTGCGTGCTTAGTACATCAAAATAACATCGCGTGCATCAAGTTGATTACATGGAGCGACATTCGAGTGCAGCGTGGACTCATCTTCTATTAAGATCTTCTATCAACCGGGCATTACGCACCTTACCACACCTTGTTATCATATAAGGATCTAATTATCACACACGACGATGGTTAGTTATTATTGTATGTGCCATCAAACCTTGCACCAACATTGGCTTGAACGAGACTCGAAGCTATATATGGAGCCGTCATCTTCATGAAAAAAGTTTCGTGCATCATAAAATGCAAGGAAAGGCCAGCCTTGGCCGCTCAAATGGTTCGGTATTGATGCGACGAACTCCAAGGCTGACGCGAGAATATCATCGCTTGCCTTGAATGTAGATGCTCATATATTATCTATCTATACCGTCGCTTACAAGTCAATGTACTTCCTTCTTTAGTTTTGAAGATTAAATGGAGCCTTGCATTGATAGTTGCAGATAACTTGAGATGCTCTTATTATGAAATTTTTGTTGAAAATTCACGGAAATTTATCACGGCCTATCGACGCAAAGTCAGTTTTTTGAAGAAGATAACACGTTTTTTCATTCAATATAGCGATTTTTATCAAAATTATTTGCAAACTTGAAACAATGAAAAATTTAATAAGGAAGTTAAGGCATTAGCCGGTCGTTAAGCAGGTATATTAACTTGGAGTCAAAATACAACTTGCCTGGGAGCTTTAAGGTAGCGAGAAGAACTAAAATATTCATAAAATATAAAAAAAGGCGACCCCTAAAACCGGACGAATATTTGTACGGACGAATATTTGTAATACGTCAGTAAAGCTAAAATTTAATTCCTTAGACTCTATTGTGTACTTATCAAAATAATAAATTCAAATTTAAAATTTCTTTCATGTAAACGAATTTAATGTGAATGCACGGACCGCAAATCTTAAAAGAAAACATCACCCAATTCTCGTCATAACTGCTATTTATTTTCGATTAAGTGAAAAAAAATCAGATCGAAAAGTGTCAATTTTTACATTCCCTTTTTACTCGTGCCCGCTAAAAAGTAAAAGAATTCTCCTCAGGAGAGTTTCGTTGGTTCGTCGATCGATGTTTCTTTGAACGGCAGATCCCAGTAACTTGTCAGGCCTTCCTTATATGGGCATCGTGAGCCGCTGTCCACGGGGACTCGCGGCATTCAGGAGTTCCGGGGCCTTAGCTCCCCAGCCTATAGCTTATCTAGGGACGAGCTGGTGTTGTGTGCAACGCTTGGCCTGCGCAACACCCTCACATGCAGCACACACGCAACACTTGGCCTGCGCAACACCCTCACATGCAACATGCACGCAACCCTTGGCCTGCGCAACACCCTCACATGCAGCACACACGCAGCACTTGGCCTGCGCAACGCCCTCACATGCAGCACACACGCAACACTTGGCCTGCGCAACACCCACGCTTGCAACACCTGGCCTGCGCAAAACTCTCACGCGCATCACACATAAACGCAACACATGTCTTGTGCAACACCATCGCTCGCAACACCTATCCTGCACATCTCGTCGTACACTAAACACGAAGCCTGCACAACATTTGATTTTTGCAATACCATAAATGTGTTGTTAACGCATCACGTTTGTGTATAATCTTCCAACATGATAAATGGCCAGTGAAACACTCATGTAGTGAACGCTTAGTTGAACTATACATACATATACAATATTTTCCCACCATACAACTGGCCTGGTAATATTAACTTTGCATAAATCTCAAGTCGAGACTAGACTCATACCACGAGAACAATACCCAAATGATTATTAGTATAAATACTAAAAATTCAATTACTCATTCAACTCAAAACGAACAAACTTCAATTTAGCCTTGTAGTTTACTCCCTGGTCCAAATATTGACAATCCTAATCCATTAAAATAAAATAATTACCTGGAATCCATCGTAGATCCATGACCCGAGCTTGAGAATGCAGGTCTGATCATCGAAGGGGAAGTACGTGACGTCGACAGGGCAGGTGGAGCGGAACTTGGTGGGTGGAGGCCAGAAGACCTTACCGTTGTGACTCACCATCGCCTTGCTGTTCATGTAGCCGCGCGTGTAGTCGTCCGCGCTGCCGGTATTGAACATCATTATTAAATTAGAGATAACGTAGCGGAATATTTATGTACTTTATAAAATGAATATAATATTTAATTCATATAATTACATCACCATTAAATAATAGATAATGTAGCGGAATATTTATATACTTTATAAAATGGATATAATATTTAATTCATATAATTACATCATCATTAAATAATAGATAATGTAGCGGAATATTTATATACTTTATAAAATGAATATAATATTTACTCCCTATAATTATAGGCCTTGTGTGGTATCCCATTAAATAAGGAATTCCTGAGTAGGTTTCCCTGTTTCGATTTTAAATTAATGAATTATATATTTAGGCCAATCTAATCTCCATCAACGACGAGCCGCAATAAATACGATACCAGATTTTTCATGACTTCCTGTATTGAGATAATGTGGTTATTTTATTGACGAAGCAACATCCTGAACTTCAGCCCGGTACGGTTAACCCTTTCTTCACGGATAAAATAAGCCTTCTATTTTATTCGTATATAAATTTATGGTATATATAAAGTTACCAGCAAGCGTTAGTAGAAGTAAGGTTAAGATTTGTGTGCGCTTTCATACATGAGAAACCCGGTTAGCATGTCAACCAACCATGACGCAAAAATTTAATCCAAGAAATGCGAAATAAGTGAGAAGGTAAGTCTCAAAATAGTTGCGAATGTGAAACAACAATAAGAATGAGCACTAGCTTGCCATCTTACATAAAGATGTTGATAAGAATTGAATGTTGAAATAGAAAAATCACCACTTTAATCGTGGGCGATAAAAAATAGATACGTATGATGTGAACGCCTACATTACCAACATATATATTCCATAAACTATTGTTAGCGCTCCAAGAAAACATTATATGTACAATTACGCACAATTATTAGAGTTCTCCATTTATTTCGTTTTTAAAGGACCATGCAGATATTTTCTAGGGACAATAGTTAGAGATCGGTGCAAAAATAAACAAATTACTTTGTCAATGAAAGTAGAATAAAAATCCTTTCAATATGGCAATAAAAAAATCACAGATCGCCTGAAAACAATCCAGCCTCTGAAATTTTGTCAGGCAAGACAGAGAGCGTCAAGGTCAGCCTTGACATTAACACTGAAAATCTCCGCTAAATCGCTAACGTGGAAAGTTTTCGTTCGCTTAGCACTTATACAGAAAGTTTATGTGTCGAACGCAACGCCTTTAAAATTCTTTTTAAAACAACTTAGAGAGCTATAATTAGATTTTCAGCCTTGAGTTGAGTGCTTCGTTTATTATGAAGGTTATATTTAACTGCTACATTATCAAGCGATAATTTAATGGAGATTCAGCTCTATCCAGCACATTAAAATAATATGAACAAGGGCGACCGGGCTGAAAATTTTTTAGTTGAGAATTGAAGTCCTTGAATAAGAAGAAATTGTGAAAGATATTTAATCGTTGTGATCAAATTAATATTCTAGAGGGATGAAATGCAAGAGTTCCTTTACTATATTTACCTGAAAAAAATTTACTCGATTCTTTGCCAAGGAGAAAGATTCAGGATAAAAAGTTGAACCAAATCATATACTAAGGTTAATCTCCTATTGAGAAAAGTACTCGGGCGGCATTAACTAATTACACAAATAACTCATACTACGATAAATCTAGCTATTTTTCTTCTTTATTGGCGCAGGACCAAGTTTGAAATATATTGAATCCTCTGCACGATACTCCACAATTCGGACAATTTTTTTAGTGCTAAACTCACTTGTTGTAGAGAACGATATCTGGTAGCCAAATCCGCTCGCACGGAAGACGGACGGTCTCCAGCCCGTTGTAGTCCGCAGGATCCCAGGACAGCAGTTGGTCAACCCATTCCTGCGTGGGCAGGGATTATTGCTCCAAAGATCGCTTAACTACACTTCATTGCTATGAATTAAGTTAAGACCTAAACAAAAAAATATAACTCAGTACTCACTGCAGTGAGTGACAGAGAGCGCATTTTCTCGTCGACGAAAACTTGAAGTCACGGACGGACAGACGGATGGACTGACAGACGGACGGACATGGCGAGCACAATAGTGCATTTTTTTCATAAATGTGAAAATGCGCTAAAAAGAAGGAAAGATCATAAGGTAATTAGACCCAAATGAAAAAGTTCATGATTTTATGACATCATCAATTCACGAAATGAATGGAATTCATTTTTAAAAGACCTTAAATAATCCATAAATTGAAAACCGAGTTTATGGCAATAATATTATTTTTTTTTTAATCCAAAGAGCATCACATGTGTGTTTGATATTTCGTGTCTTCATGCTGATCGGAGATAAAAAACAAGCGCAAGACTTCCTTCTTAATATTCCGTGGGAGTGCCACCTAATGCAATGAACAGGCAATGAAGTCCCAACTGAGGCTTCGTTCATGGCTGTTATTAAACTAACTACTGCCAATGCGCACCATTCGCTGCCTCTAGCGCCAGTTCAGCTTGTATAATGAATATCACGGAGCGGGCATGAGCCAGAGACGGGGTAACATTACGCAGGAAATGATAGACGTTGCTCAGCACAACATGAATTTAGGAATCACGTGTATTTTGAAATATACATTTGTGTTTTGAAAATATACAAATATGTTTAAAATATACAAGTGTGTTTCAAAATAATTAATGGTGTTATGAAGGTAGGTGAAATTCAAGAATACTTTGAATTGCGGTGATCGGTGGACAGACATGTGAGAAAAGCTCTCTATATACACGGCAAATATATCGGAAAACTTTTCAAGTTGAAGAAAAATATATCTTTGTGACCGACATTACATTTTGATGCAAATATCAAGAGGCTGATATGAGACATATTGTGACGTTGATTTGTGGAAATTTGATGCGAAGAATCTAGGTCGACGGGAATGTGACCCCGGGCGATAACTGAAAGCTGTCATTGTGGGGAAATCAAAACTTCCGAAAATGCGTTGACGGACGTCAAATACTGCGGAGGCGGAGCAGAATAGTGAACTCTCAGTGAAATAGAGTGATTTATGTGACAGGTTAATCGATTCTCAGTCTGGGCGAGACATAAAATCATATTGAGTTATGAAATAATGTTGAAAAATGCTTAAATATATTCTTCTCACGACCTGCTGTTCCTCACCTGGTCGAGCCAGACGTTGGTGGTGAGTACTTGGTTCTTTTCATCCTGCAAGGAGAATAAGATTTACTCTATCATAAGTAATAAAAATAGAATATAAAATTCAGTATGAAATGAATTTACTCACATATATCCTAAAAATAAAGTCTTAAGATGCCCTTTCTGATATTGTTGACAATGAAAAAAGGGGAGAAGTATATAATACTTTATTGAGGTCACTCTCTGCTGAGCTTATCGAACAGGGAGTGGAAAGAAGACCACTTTGACATGAAATCTCAATAAAGCATTCAACAACACAGCAATGTAAGCATAATAATTATTATTAGTACACCAAACATGTTCACAGTCTGCCCCATTCCAATAGCTTTAATTTAAACATTAAAGATTTTATATCACTAACCATATCAAAGATCTGAGTGAGTGTGATGCCGAGCTGTATGACCACGGCGTGCGAGGCGTTCAGCACAGGTCTAACATTACGATCGTAGCCCCACATCAGTTCATCCAAGAGTCGTTTTTCATCGTTTTCAGTTAACTTAAGCTTCCTTTTGAAGTATTTATTCTTCGCAAGAACGCTCTTCTTATCGGTGGTGCTCTTTTCCGTGTTAGAAGAAATAAAATTACTTGAGTCGAAATGTGGCAGCATGTCCCCGTAGACTTCAGTCACAGGTTGGGGCTCTGGTTTTTCTTCGTCGCGATGGCCACTGTTTATGTCATCTGAGGTTACGCTTTCATCCGAGTTTATTTCACTGAAAATCGGCTTGCCGCTCTCTGACCCCGGTATCTTAGCGTTTTTTATGTTTTTGATGTTGGGGAAGTTGCTGGCGTACAGCTGATAAGGATGCGCAGGGTCATACGGTACGTTGGAATCACCGTCGTCATTGTGGCTTGGTTGATAGAGTTCTTCATAGGGATTGTAGTTGTCGTACCCACCGTCTGGTGCTGTTGTTGTCAAGTCGTTTGTGCTGCCCATCACTCGGCTCACCACACTGCTTACGACAGTACCGCCTGAAATTGAATAAAAATTGGATCATGAACATGTCATTGTTTTACAGGGCATTCTCCAAATATATATCATGGTACGTCATTCATAATGAATTTCTTTCTTTCTTAGAAAACATGCATTACAATGTTGCGGTGTGGTGACTGAAAGGTTAAAGTTAAGAGCACCAAAATTGGCACAGTGAATTACGAGTTCGATCCCATCTGGCTGTAAATATAATGGTCGATATTGACGTGGTGCTTGGCGGGATAATATAGCAGTGAATAGTGAGTTGCGGGTTCAAAGGTTTACAACCAAGTTGTATAAATTCAGCAATGGCTCAAATCGGCAGCATGCCGGACTTGGTTTTGTCAACTCCGACAGCACTATTGCCATTTCTAAATAACGTTGGGAATTAAGTTTCGGAACAAATTAGGACTATTAACCTCTATGGAACGTACACCTTGAATTTCCTGCTCTATCATCTTGTATATTATTTGAAGGAAACTCTTTCCCTTTAACAATAATAATTTGAAAAATAAAAATCAGATAACAAATTTTGGACTAAAAAAACAAGAAAGAGGTGATGTTACACGTACCAAGTCGCCTATAAGCTTTGTGCTAAATATTAAAATTTCCCAAATAAGTTTCACATCTCACCTATATAAGTTATAAGCATCTCGAGTATTTATAAATGAGTTTAGTTTCCCCGTGAAAATTCTACAGCCTATTCAATTCATGTATAAATAACTGTGTGGCTGATGACTTGGTACCAATGCACGTATGCATGTCAGGTACGTTCAAAGCTCATGTAATGTATGCCGCGTGCCACGACAAATGGCAAGATCGTGAGGCAATTCCAGCTGGGACAAGCATGGGACAGTCTTCGTGTTCCTATATATTCCAGGAACTGGTGTGCGGCAGCTGCGAGCGTGTCTCATCTGCCCGATAATATCAACGCTTTGTCAAAATAACCAATAGCTTGCAGAAAAAAATATTTAAGAATATGAATGTTCTGCTAATTGAAGCGATGGTAAAAATATACGCGTGCCTACGACTGTTGTTCAATGAGAGGAAGTTTAATATATTTAGGCTCATATTGTAGTCAGTTTGTTTTCTGATTGGTTAGTGTATTCCTTTATTTCAGCCCATACAAATTTAATATTTTATGTAAAAAAGGCCTCATTTAGATTTCAGCCATGTGCGGATTTTATCAGCTTTCTGGCAGTGAATTTATTTTAAATAAAATAAATCATGCATTTCTAAGATTGAAAAACTTTCGAAAAATGGGAGAATAATTTTAACTTTTCTAGATTGAAGATAAAGAGTCTAGATTGGCCGAGTTCACTACGGAGTTTGCGTGGGAGGACCACCTCTGGCCGACGCTGTTGTTGAGGCGACCACTTCACGGAGTTGTAAAACCACAAGACAATGCGTAAACTTCCGTCGTATTCCGCATTAAAGGATAAGGAGAGCTGAAATGCTGCAGGAAAGACTCGCAAATTATAGCATTTACTCGAAATGAGCGTCTCAAGTACATGATCTTAGTTGTAAAGATGCCTCAACCTCGGACTAAAATCGAGAAACTTGTACCCTTACATGTGCACCAAATTTAATTGAGCCAAGAATCGTGGCTTGTATTGCACAACTAAAAACCATTAGTAACATATTTTATCTGTTTCTATAATTTTTAATTAATAAATATGGTAATGAAAATGTTGTCGCATAGCAATAATTTCTAATCGGAATCGCTTACAAAAACACACAATATACACATAAAATAATAATAATAAAGATGTTCATCAAAGTCATAATTCTAATACGCGTGGAAGCTTTTCTAATTCTTTCTATTAGAAATTGATGCCAAACACATTGATTACAAATAGCTGTAAATATCTGTTCTTACTACCTGTCGCGATCAATAATTTACTAGAAGGCACCGATACCACTTCGCAATCCAAGTCGCCTTATACAGTATACTCTACGTGCGACCTGTCTGTGATCTACGAATAAAATATTCATAACTATGCCGAATATTGGATGTTAGGCTTAAATAATTTAATAATTTGTAATTCAATCTATTCATATTCATCCGCCACAACCGAGTCCAGTTTTAAAAAGACGCGTAGCCTTGCCAAGCAAGCAAGGGAATCAAATTAAAGCTTAAGCAGCGCAAGTCGATACAATGGAAGCCGATCCCACCAGACATATGACGTTGAATCAACGTTGAATTGAACGTTGTTTCGTTGAATCAAGGTTAAATGAACATTGTTTCAACGTCATTTGCTTGATGTGGCTGTAACTTAAATTAATTTCGCAGGGTTCGCTAAATTAACTCACTAATTTTAAACTCTTCAGTTGGCTTTTATGGCAATTGGGATAATTTTCTACTCGCTTATTGAACCATCGTTGGCTGAATATTTGGATAACTGAGTCGCTACCAAAAAACTAAAATATTTGAAAAAATCATAAACAAGAGAAGTTTTAAATAGTTAAAAGTCGTCCTAAAGTCTGGACTAATGAAGAAAATAGGTATAAACACTATTGAATTAGAATAACTGAAATCAACTTTCATTCAAGTAATTTTGCAACAATGTTAGCGGGTAGAATATATTCTCTTTATTAAAGCTCACGTTTCCGATATATTTGGCATCAACTCACTTTATTTTATTTTAAAACTGAGATTTAGTTCATAAAATCAAATGAAAATAATTCTCAGATGTTCATCAGTTTTCCTTATAATTGATGTTCAATCTAATTTAACGTAAGTAAATACATTTGAAAAGAATATCTAAAAAATTTTCTTTCACAATATACAGTACACATTCGACTCAATTTCCTAGGCAATGAACTTTGCATCACACGGTCGTATTTCCAGCTATCATCGTCCGCCAAGGACGTTCTGGCATTGCCAAAGTGTCCATCAATAAATTAGCCGCGAATATTCATCATAGTCTGCCATGAAGAAAGAGGCTTTCGACCTCCACTGAGTAAAGCGAATCGTTTTGTTGGCAGGCCACATATATCGAGGGCTTCGATAAAGACGGAAAGCATCCTACGAGTATGGCTCATCTCGGAACCTTTCATGCGTCGCTGGTGATCGAATGCACAACTTGGCATAGGCACAAATTCAATACGGAAGTATTAATCTCTGATGACACTGAGAAGGAAAATCCGATTTCCTGTATAACGCAGGGAAACGTTTGCTATAGGAAATGGTCACTCTAAATTGGTCACGCTTAAAAGAACCTTTCAGCGAGTTAGTGAATTGGATAATGGCATCCAAAATCTGCCACAAGCTCGTGGGGAATGTTGATATTTTACTATCCTGCTGTCAATACAAGGGCCTCGTATGTATCGATGAAAATAAAATAGTCATTTCCGTTCATGCTGCATTGATGATTTCCATACAAAGTTGGCTGAGAATGCGAATGCTACTAAAAAGTTAATCATGATCGTGCATCTCGAAAACGATTAGAAAAATTTTTGCTTACAAGCTGTCACAATTGATGCCTGATAATATGCGTTTAAACGCATGGATTTTTTTGGCAAGCCAAAGATATCAAGCCCAGTGAATAGGAATGATATTATGATATTAATAGGAATGATATCGGATCCAATACCGAATACTCATGGTCGGAGTTGTGCAGAAATGATTGATAGATTTCTGCAGAACCTTAATGTGGTTCATGACGACCGACCACTCTAAACCATTACGATTTATCTTCATCTCGGCAGCACGTGCCGCGACCAATGCCAAACCCACGACGCCATATTGAACCTGACTTTCAATGTTAAATTACACGACTGAGTCCAGTGACCTTGATTTTCATTAAATAACTATTTTCTTGTATTTGAAATAAGAGAAATATTCCATACATAAGTGCTAAAAATTTGTCATTTGGGAATAAATTTGGCGTTGAAAGCTAAAGCTGTGCGATGCTCGATCCGTTGAATTTGAGCTTTAAAGTTATTTGGTTTCTCCACGATATCTCATGATGATTGAGTATGGTATTGGAGTTAAGTGTAGATGTTCGTGTAAAATTTGTCACCATATGTAAGCAAATGCTGATAAAGACTGATAACAATTTATTCGGTTATATAGGATGCAAATCTTTTTATAGAAACTTGAAAGGCATTGTGCTTGAAAATTTATCGCTTATGGTTGAAAATGGCCTATTTCTTTTCACCGTTGTTAAATCAGAAAAACCTGGGAAGGAAATGTCACTTGTACTATCTTTCCAAGTCATAAAATTTTATATATACGAAAAAGTGTTATGTTTTCATAACAGAAAGTATTTGGCTATATATTTCCTGTTCCATCTTTCTGTCGTCCAACAAAATTTTCTTATCATTTTAACGTTCAAAATTAAATTATTAATTAGATGCCTTCAAACGAACTGCACTGCACTGCTACGAGCAAAAGAACTGCAAGAATTATTACTCGATCAAATTGAGGGGTATATCCTCCGACTATCGCTTTATTTGATCATTAATCTCTTATGTCTAATGGCATACGTATATGCAAGGAATTCATGCAGAAATTTACATGGGTAGTTATATTAGTACATTTCCATCGGAAGTAATACCGGCATCTATTTCAGCTGATTTTCTCGTCTCTACCTCAAATGGAGAGAGTATCCTTGAAAATCTTTTGGTCTCCCCTTAGCCCCGGAAAAGGCTTCAGCTTTGCTTAGCCAAATGATCCACGATAAAGAAAAACAATTTGCTGTCATTTTGCAGGTTCCATGAATATTTTACCACCTCGCATCCACTAATCGACTCGCCATTCATAACTTGGAATCTTATTGCTTTGTTATTACGTTTCACTGATATTATTAATTTAATAATATGCCTTTAAAAGTTACTTTTTAAAGACAACACTTCTGAAGAATCAAGTGTCTTGGATGTTACACATGTACAATGAATTTTTGATTTTATTTTCAAGTATTAAAAAATTTTTTTTTACATTTTTTTAAGCTATCAAAATTTTTTAAATTTTCAAAATTATT